AGCCGACATGTTTGCCTTATAGGATTCGTGACCTACTGTGCAATTGTTTCAAGACTGATTTTTCCCATCACGCGATCTATTTTCGTGGTAAAAGAGTAAGTTTGATGATTATTATATTCTGTATGGCTAGTTTGAGAAAGGATTGAATGATATCAAGTCTTGTTGATGCCATTAAAGGCACGATACATGTATTTTTTTGCAGTTCTAATTTCCTTCGCGTGCTCAATCTTGTATGCCATTGTCGATCCCTCGAACTTTCATTTCTTTCAGCAATCTATCACCATGTTTCCTTTTGTCGTCATTTTCCTATCATAATACCCTCCAGAGTATTATAATCAAGTCAATTGCCATGATACATCAGGAAATCAACATTGGATATTATTCAGTATCTATTTACTAAACAGAAACTATAGTCTTCTAGGCAATTTCATTATCCTTTTCTTACAATAATGTTTCGTAGGGAACGAGATCTACTGTATTTTCTCCAATTAATTGAAACAAAGAAAGAATGCAACTCTGATTTACGTAGCCAAATAGGTCGCAATGGCTTCTATTCAATGCCATAGGTAGTACAGCATAAGAGAATACCTAGGATATACAGTGTATAGGATGCTACATTCAATTCTTCTCCTTTTAATGATCAAGTCCATAGACTGCTTGTGGACTCGTTAGTAAAATCGCGTTCAATTATTTCTATCCCTGTCTATTATTTTTGCCACTATCGTGCAGTATCAATTGGCGGTCATAGCGGGAAGTTATTTGGGGGTCCATGACTGTAACCCAATACCTTTTTAATGCGATGATAAATACTTTCTTTCTGCTACTTTTCAGTATGATAGTTGGAGTAGATGACAAGAAATTGCTTTCTTTCGTAAACGCAATAAATAAACTACGAATTGGTTTTTAGGGTATTACTGTAAACTTTGACTATCATCATCGATTGGAAATCAATTCTATCCTTGTGCGCTTATACTGTATAGAATGATTGCAGAATGTTCGGATATCAATTTGAGTCATACTGTAGAAAGAATCGAGACTCCAATTCTATTCTGATGGATTACACTAGAATTAGCATGGATATAAACTGCACTTACTACGACATCTAACCATGATTAACTTACTTCATTCCGATAGGGGTTAAAGTAGAACCAAAAATTGACATTTACCTACTTTGATTTTGACTGCAGTCTACGCCTACTAGTTATTGTAGCCACCATCATGTTCATCTGTTGACAACAGTCTTATGAACTACATGTAGTCTAGTTCAACCGTTGGTTTAAGTAGAAATATTGTTTCCATTGATAGACATGTTGATCATAGGCAGAATGAGGCTGTAGAAATCCGACATCAGCCCTAGACCAATCCTATTCCAATGTAGTATTAATATCAAAGTCAAATTATTTCGGCCGGTAAAGATGATGACCGCTGCCTTCATGAGGCTCAACAGCATTGGTAAGCTGACTGGAAATAAGTGATTTTCGCTAATAGTCAGACTACCATCGCCATAGATTGAAATAGAATTGTAAACGCTTTAGACATAGGAAGAGGTCGATTGTAGTTGGATAGACTCAGTGCTGCTAATGATCAACCTTTCTACCCATCTGGATATCGACTACAGTCAGCAAAAATCCATTTTGTTTTAATTTAGCGTATGTTAAAGTCTTAAGTGTTGCAAGACGTTGACATGCCGACTGTAGTCATAGTGATAAATGGTAACCCTACTAGTGTTGTACTTAAAATAGACATACTATATTGAAAGTGCAAATTGGAAAATGTGTTTGTTGTCTTTTCACTTTGGTGCGATCTTGGTAGGATACTAGACTCGGCTAATATACTTTAAGAATAATACTTCCTTTTCAATGGAATCAAGTTCATGAATTTCATCATGCTTTTGTAATATTGTGGCGATAGCTACAGTATACTTTGTATCTTGGGTATTAATATCGATGTTTAGCCATTGGGTAAATCAACCAGTCGTTCCATCCTGAATCGTATTTGTCAGAAGGAAATTGCTAGTTAATTACCACTACAATAGGACACTAATTTATACCTAGCGATAAAAGCAATTTCTATCCGTTTATCACACACACTCGCACAGTAAATAGAATTCGGCCACTTTCAAGTCCACTTCTGTACATTTCTTCAGTACAGGAAATACTCAGTTACCTTGTCGCTGATCTTAACAGTATATAATATTAGTGGATGATGCATGATTCAATATTGAATAATAGAACCATTTTATTTTAGCTAAACGAAGATCGACGTTTACGCGATCAAGGAATTGGCGATAACGAAGTTGTGAAACTAACTATCATTACGATTGAAGGTTAGGTCAAGATTTATATCTAGAAATTTTGTCTCCATTTTTTTTTTTCCATCTTTCTATTCATCTATGAAATTATTCTTAACATCATGATCAGCATCCATAATCATTGTTGTACTGTATGTATAGAATCGTTTAAACGCATAAAAGTTATAATCTTGACCTTGAAATGATGTTATTCTGAACTTACTTACCCTAGCAAATTAATTATTCTTATATTTTACACTTCCTCAGCTTGCAGTTACGTACTCGAAAAATGTACATTATCTACAGTATATATATATATATTATACGTATATCGATCAGCATGTACTCATGGTATGAGTATGTATAATTGATTTTCTTATAGAACCGAACGCAATCATCGAAATCATTGATGTAGATACTGCTATTAAAGGTAAGTCGACAATTCTAAAACCCTTTTTTTTGTGAGGCTTAATTATTTTTCATTTATACTTAAATCTGTTCTTAATATCTCGTTCAAAGCATTGACGCTAATCATACTAAATTGTCTGGCTAGTTAAACATTTCGCATTTGCCATTAGATATATGTTTAGCGCTACATGCTTATATTAAGTTAGACAGAATTAAACGTAAATGATAATGAAAAATATGGACAATTGTTGATGGGCATTATTATTGTCTGACCAATCGAACTTTTTCTACTCTAGGGGTTAGCGTATATAATGTAATGTATAATGGTAACTATAATGGCGGCTCAAATGGCGATCAAGGAACAAGTATCGGTACTTCTTCAGGCGATGAGTTGCCCAGGCACGCGATGAAAAAAACGAAATTTACTGCAAATCACTATTCAGAAGCTGGTATTCTACTACTTTTCAAGATTGAATTTTACGATCTCATCACGCTTGAATAGTTTCTTACTATTATAATTACATTATTACCATCTAGGAGATTCACCATCATCCGGTTCTTCGTCTTCGCTCTCGAGTACTAACTCGCAGAATGACTATATGACTCAATGGATGCTTTGCCAAAATTTTAAGAAAGAGCAAGAACGCCTTAGAATGCCTAATGGTCTGTATTATTAATATAAACATTGTCAATGATACTGATAAAGATACTTGTCATCAATACAGTATAGCTTAAAATCTGATTATAGAAGGGCTCTTGATATTAAATATCAACAATGACTACATATATTGAAATTTAGACCCACGAGATTGGAAAGTTTCGCATGCTGACCACTGGTTAAATTGGGCTGCTCGGCAATTCGAAATAGAAGATTATGCGTTTATTGAGAGATTTCGTGGAATAGATGGGGAAGCGTTATGTGCTTTAGATCGTGACAGCTTTATACGCAGAATGAATTCTCAAATTGGAGAAATGTTTTGGACCCACTTTGAATTGTTAAAGAAATGTACGATGCAGTCTATAATATATAACGGATTTAAGCTAGTATTTCAAAGCTAGTGAATTTGGTCATGCCATATTTCTTGACCAATTACTTATTTTGTCATAGCTTCTATTCGAATACCATCTCTATCTGACAGAAAGAATTCACAAACTGATTACAAGCCAAATGGTGAGTATATTTGATTATTGAAATGGTTTGATAAATTTGTACATAGTGTAAATAATCAGAGTGGTAAATAGAATTACATTGACTTTATCGTTTAGGAGCTGTGTATATAGATTCACAGAACAATTACAAGCGAAATGGTAAATATTGATGATGGAATTCATGCGTTTCACTGCCAATAAATCTTATAGTATAATCTATGATTATATTATTCGTGCATCGTGTAAATAATTGTAGTGATAAATATAATTACTTGGACTTTATCGTTTAGGAGCTGTACATAACGATTCACAAAACAATTACAAGCAAAATGGTAAGTATTGATGATTGAAATGAATTGGTTTCGCTGTCAGCAAACCTTACAGTAGAATCTATGAATAGATTCGCGCTTAGTGCAAATAATGATAGTGGCAAATATAATCACATCGACTTTATCATTTAGGAGCTGTGTATAACGATTCACAAAGTAACCGCAAGCAAAACGGTAAGTGTTGATGATTGAATTGAATGGATTTGTCTGTCTACCTCTTTAAGGTATCATTGTGAATGAAATCGTGTACATTGTAAATGATTTGCGTGCGTAGTAACAAATATAGCCACATTTACTCTACGGTTTAGGAGCTGTATATGACGATTCGTCCGCAAGATTGTGCTCATTATCCAATGGTAATAAATCAACAACTGAACATAGACTTCAACAACTCAACTCCCATTATCGTTAAGTTTCGTAGCTAAGTTATTTGCGTGTTTCTCTACTTATAATTAATTTATCGATGCTCTGTTGTTATGATATTAATATGGCTATATTTTACTTTACTATTTAAGTAGCTAGCTCAACCGAAAAAAAAATTGCTTCCACAAACGCGCGGTTACAGGAAAGACCATCACCTGGCAATAGAACAGGTCAGTATACGAAGCTGGTTTAATTATAATGCGGGATATCAAAAATTTAATGTAAATATATTTATAAACCTATACAGTAAAGCAATACTAGTCTTTAACCCAGAAATCCTTGTGATGGACTGCATAATATGATGTATTTGCGCAAGAAAAAATTATGTAATAAGATTAGTTGACTGATCAGAAGTAGTAACTTCGCAATCATACTGATAATATCAAATTTAAAATTTTATAGGTAATAATGGGCAAATTCAGTTATGGCAATTCTTATTAGAATTGTTAACTGATAAAAATCATCGGCAAGCGATAAAATGGATTGGAACTGAGGGCGATTTTAAGTTGGTTGATCCTGAAAGGGTGGCCTATCTTTGGGGACAGAGGAAAAATAAACCTGCTATGAATTACGAAAAATTAAGTAGGGCACTTAGGTACTATTATGACGGTGATATGATTCATAAAGTACATGGGAAACGATTCGTATATAAATTTGTTTGTGATTTACGTTCACTGATTGGTTATTCGGCGGAAACTTTAAGTAAGTTGGTTGGGGAAGGTGACCAGGAAGATGGTAAAAGAGAACTTAGTGATGATACCAGTGAGAGTAGCTCTTCTGCAATTAGCATATCGTCTAATGGCGTCAATCCCAATTCTACAAATTGTTGCGCTAGTAACACAAATGAAATTGTAGCTCCTACTAAACCCTTGTCAGCAGAGCTTCTATAACCTTTTTTTAATTTACTAGGGTTACCACATTACTGTAATAAAAAATGTAGCATTCTCTACAGATATAATGTAATATATATATACACTTATAAAGAAATCTATCATATGACAATTAAATTTATTTATATTCTCTGCTGCGGTTGAAAATTTGCCGAACGTTAGTTTGTGCTGGAGATTAAGTTAATTATATTCTATATGGTTGAAAATTTTTGCAAGACTTTCGTCCTGAAGATATTATTATTAATAATAATATTAGCAGTAGTAAATTATAATGTATTGTTAATTAATCATTCGAAGTTTCCTTCACTCTTCAAGGGTTAGTCCTCGATTTAGCAATGTTGGCACGTTGATAATGCTTTCCTCCTTCACAAGAAGCGTACATAATTCTAAGTATATTCCGATAACATAATTATATAATTATTTAATTTTAATCCTTGTTATATAATGTTTGTGCTAATCTATTATTAATTTATAAGTATAAATTGAAAAATCCATTTTATTCGTTGCGACGATAAAGTGGTAGACGCAGTAGGTAGAGGTAGATAGATAGTGTAATGTTGTATTAAATTTAAATGTATAATATTAATGCTATGATCATGGCGAAATAAAAGTATGTTCTTACATTAATCAAATGTTTCTGACTGATATTTTTTTAATATATCATGATGTGTTCTTGCTAGTCTTTAATTACAAACAGGTAGGCAACACCACATTTTGATGCTAAAAAAGCTAGATTTCTTTAACACTTAAATTTGTAAACTAAATAAAGACGAATTCTACTGTACATTTAATATGATTTAGTAAAATGGAACATAATCTGATATACAGTAAGTGTATACCTCCGAAGGTAACAGCAACAGTATTAAATTACCCACAATTCTTAAACTTCATGCCATAAGAAAATAACTTACGAATTACAAATGCGTATGATCGTGATAATTGTAGACGAATTTACTGTATTTACATACCAAGCAACTATAACTGGTATAAGTGCATCTACATACCATATATCGCGTATTAAAGAACGTAGAACTTATCATGTGGTGGAAATATATATAAGAATATATTTTGCACATGTGTATTGTACAGTTACGGATCTAAGATTAGCTATACATACGGGTTTGAGAGTAAAATTGTGTAATACTTAGAAGTGGCTCTTATGAGCGACAAATATTTTCAAAATTCTAAAAACTTATGAATTTTGGAGGTTATGGTATGATATGATATCTTCTCTCATTTCCTGCTCGGTTTGGTATATCATAACCTACTTTTGTAGTAGATTCACTGTTACCCGCCACTCATCCAACCACTGCAATAGTGATCTTCCTTGATACTTCACCCAAGGAACGGTGTATTGCGCAGGCTGCTCCCACCTGAAACAGCAAAGTCTAGCTCAATTTTCGTTTACAATGCAAAAAATACATTACCTAAAATTATGATACCAGAAATATTGACCTAAAACTCGTGTATATATAACAATACACATACATTAATGTTCCACCTAGCCCATTCACACGACTAAAATTAAATTTACTTGCACGTAAACAAGGCCAGAACGAGCTATATTACTATAATACACTATTCTTTGCAAACTGTATTTACCAGTCAGTAGCCATTTCTTTAACTGTTGCGCAATCAGATATTGATTTTTTCGCTTGATTATTTCTGTTACGCAATAGCGGTATTAATCGTTTCATCAAGTTTTCATCATACTCTTTTATGGTATTTGATAGTGCTAGTAGAGTACAGAGGATTAAATAAAAATTTACTGTCTTAAAGATCCGGAAGCAGGTTACCCTAAATTAAAATGTCAATGCCATTCAAGCATGACATGCACCAAAATTAGTTAGAGTAAAAAGCGTTACATTGTGCCTCAAGTAGTAAGTTCGTTTCAACGCCTATCTGATCAGCAATTCGTCGCTGTAAATCCAAAGTATTACTGATGCGGACACCTATTTCAAAGCAGAATTGATGAGAAATAGCGAAATGCTAATAAAAATGGCAGATCGATATAACCTTCTTTCTTGGAGCCGATGAGGAAAGGAAGCAAACATTCCGAAGACTATAAAAATTGCATTTTTAAACATTTGTTTTGCATGACATGACAGAAAGTGAAACAATCAATTCTCGTAACCACAGCTTACTAAATATTGTGGAAATTCCATAAGATGAAGCAACCTGGATAGAGCCACATTTTCGGAATAGTTTAATCGATATATGGATAAATCGTCAACCTTCAATCGAATATTCCTGTCAGAATAAAGATAGATATTAAACAGTGCAATATCTATTTGATATACCTTGCTAGAAAACACAGAAAGATTAACTTACAATTCCTCAGCGAAGGTTGTCTGTAATCTGCTTAATTGGACCGCATTAAACTGATTTGTTTCTTTTATCACTTTATCAACAGACCTATTAACTGCTTTAATAATTTCCTCTTCATGAGGCAAAACACGACATTTTGAATAGTTTCCATTCTACAACAGTGCCACAAGATGGTAAGAAATCAGTTTACGGCTTACTGGTACCACTACGATAATCTTCAATTTAACGACAATAAACTCTAACTTTGTGGATAAACAATTACTAAATTGTTAATCCTTAACAACAATAAATTAATAAGATAAAGCGATCTAAACTTGCCTCTTTTTGTATTTTCTCTATTTTTACTTTTGCAGCAGAATTTTCTTTAACAAGTGCCTGAATCAATTCCTGCTTAGATTGCTATAGTACCGCCAGGAGCAGAGGCACAATTAGTTGAATACAAAACATTGATTTAACAATTAATTTTAAACACTAACCCTAACAATGTAACACATAAATCGTAAAGTTCTAATATACATACTGTTAGCTTATTAAATCGTTGTATATTGTGATACTTCGCAAGAAGACCTTTCCTCTTTGATTCTTGTTCTTGTATAAGCACATGCGAGTCTTCCAAGCTTGATTTGATCACATTTCGAATTTCCTGGGCAGCAATGATTTCCAGCTCGTGATCAAGAAGCGATCTGGTAAAAAGGTTAATACTTTCTTAATAACCAGTGACTTTGCAAAAGTAACGAGATTATACTTAACGTTATTATCACCGCTGATGATATGGGCAATAAGTTTGCCTGAAGAATGCTTACTGTAAAATATGAATAAAGTCGCACGTTTATGCAATAATCACCTTGCAACATCAAAGCAAGCAGAGTCGTGATAATAATGTTCTTCAATTAATTTGTATAACTGGCTCTTTAGAATATTCAGTTCGTTTTCCGCTTCGTGAGCTTTACAGAGTAATTCTTCAGTGGAAATAAAAGTGTTAATGTGCAGCTGTGCACATTCCTAAAATATGCATATTAATTGATCATATCAAATCACAAAGTTTGCAGCGCTGGTTATGAAGAATTAATATAGTTGCTTACTGCTATAAGCTTGCGAGCACTTTGGAGAAGGTTCGGTGGTGATGTTAAATCTTTTAATTGCGAGTTGTCGAATTTAAATCTATGGTTGTCAAGAGGCGTTTTAATATCAAAATTGTTGTTACTATTAACTCTTCAATTTTTCTGTCACCTACTATCCACTGAAACTAGTTTATTTAGCAAAATTTTTATTGAAGCTGCGATATCTGTTACAATTACACTTATTTAACTATTCAATACTTTAATTCGTCTGCGTCCTTTTTCAAATCTATCTTTGCTGTCAAATTTTGCACAGCAGTACACGTATTCTCAATTAGTACAGATAGTGCGGTATTAATTTCACTTGGAGAATATTTGCACATGATGTCCTACGCCAATTACCATGTTAATAATATCAGATTCAAAACGAAAATATTGGCAATATTGCGTAACGATATTAATTTAGTAATAGAATAGCTTCATTACTTCCAATCTTGTCCAAATATGCTGTTGCTGCTTTTCGACTTCATTGCTAATGGAATAGAAAGTATCTTGTAGCTATTGTCATCCAGTAAAATGTGCCAAGCAACAATTTAATCTACTTTCTGTAACATACTTGAAGTAATTTTCATCCAATTTATCCTCATTGATGTATAACAGCTCCAATAATTTCTGTACATCCTTACTTACTCGCCGAATATCTCGCTAGCATAAAATACCGTGCATTTATGGGGAATTAATTTAACATTATACTCTACAGGATCGTGTACTTCAAAATCGCTACATCTTTTAAATAATCTTGTATGAAAAATAATAATATTTATAATGGAGATGTTATAACCACTGATTAAGTTATAAAATTATTTCGTTATTATGACGATTCTATAATACAAATTTTTCTAATACCCTATGATAATGCAAAATACTGTAGTAGTATCTAAAGTCACATTTACAAAGTAACGGCTAGTGGAAAACTGAGCTTAAAATGCTTCCAATATCGTCATTGACAAGTACCTCACAGATTGATTCCAAACGGAGTTGATCCTGTCCATAGCCGCTATCGGTCGTGTTTGAAGCATATTTTTCCCTTGATATTGAATTCTGGGCGAAATTTTTACTCTGTACAAATTTATCTATCGTCTGTCCAAAGTTTTTCAACTGTGATGAATAATCTTGACTTTGTTGATTGTATGTTGATATTAAAAATTGGCTTTTTTGGCATTCCAATAACTTATTTCGATCACTTTCAATATTCATTTCTATGATAATAGATAGAGTATAGTATTATTAAACATAAGTTTTATTTACTTATTGTTGTGCACTCAAAATAGATCAGCACATTCTGCAAGGGTGATTGATTTTTATTTGTGCAATCGTAAGAGCAACAACGTTAGCTAATAATTGCAAATTCAATTTCTTTTAGGCTAGAAAAATATTGAAAAGGATGATGGGAGTCTACTTGGTTAGTAATACATATGAAATGCATAATTTGGATAGAATGTGAAATTTACCTAAATCTGTCACGCTTCTTTCCAATCTGTCAATTTCACTTTCCACTAAGCGATTATCTTCCTCTAGTTTTTTCAATTCTTCCATTAATTCTTCACGCTCATTACGTAATGCTTGCATCACATCGCTTCGATCGCTGTTGTTTTCATTAGATTGCTGCTGTTGTTGTCGATAGTGATGATCGTTAATGGCTAGATTTCCTTTGACAACCCTAACCGTGCTAGTTGATTAAGAAATGGTAGCATTAACAGGTAAAGTAGTTACTTCTTAAGAAGATCTATTAGTCCTCTACAGAATTACTAAGGAAAATAGTGCTTTGCTCATTTGTAATCCTAACAACGAGGTACTACGAAATGGATCGAGTACATTATTTATCATTATCCCAACAATGCCGCTACAGTGCTGATGTTCAAAAAGTTAGCTGCGTTGACCACAGCTAAAATGAATGGTAACAAATGCAAAGCCTACTTCAATAGCCATTCAGCCAATGATTCAGTACTGTAGTATTCTAGATGTACATACTTGTCAAGTCGTTGATACTTACTCTAAGGAGGAAATATTATTTATTAAAAATTTCCATATTTCCACAGTTGAACCACGGCACAGTCTGTACAAAACAAGAAAAGCAATGTAGACCTGTATCATTTCCAGAAACGATTTTGAGCTGTAGTAAAAGAGTAAAGAGATTCTACTACGAGTATGATTAACAAATTAATTGATTGATTCAAGAATAGAGATACTACCGTCTTTAAGAGTATTGTGAAATAATGGATTGGCTGGGTAACGATGATCGAATAATTCGCTGTGGAAATGGACAATTTACAGAACTGTGGTGTGGAGTAGAACAAGGTCATGACGACGAGATGTAGAATTGCTATACTTGGCTGTTTAACTTATACTACTGTATAGTATCGCTGTAAATAGAACACTAAATTAGGTCTGAAGGATGCGACTACTCTAGTACTGACGGAAACAAATTTATTTATTGCATGCTCAAAATTATGCGATATTGTATTCCGGGTATTGATCCGGCGGTACTATGCTGTACAAGATATAGTCATTTCCTTTGGACAGAGAACACCTTTGGATTCGAAGACGAACTATTTGTAAGGTAAATTACTACATTGAAGCATAAAAATTGTTCATTGTAAAGTGAGCATTTTGCTAATTGATTGATTGATGGCCGTTTTACTCTTTCCACTTGGCTCGCATACCTTAAGAAATCATCTTGTGTTGGTAGTTGATCACCAGTATACATGGCATGCTGTTGAAATTTCATTTCTTCGACTGCCCATTTTTTTAACTGACGGGCTAGATCGTACTGAGAAGTCATCGTTGCTAGAAATAGGCTTGAGGTGTGTCGTTTTACTAAGTAACAGCAAGAATTTAGGAGTTGGCATGATTGGAAGTAATACAGTCCATCGTTGATACGATGGCATCGAAAATAGTAGAGGACTATTGCTTACATTACTTTTACAGGCAGGAGATTGGGGAAATGGAGAAAAATCAACACGGAACAAGAAACGAGACCAATCTTCAATCGCTCTCTCTCTCTCCTAGAGGTAAAAGAAGAAGACGACGAACTTTACCGAGCGTTGCCAAAAACGCCATGTCTATTGCATTGGTAGTGCAAAATTATCGAGTGTGCAACACTACCATGGCCAATAGTACTACTGTAAAAGAAAATGGAGTGCATGATAGAAGATGTACAAGCATTTCAAGGTGAAATTATTACTGTCAATGAAGCAACATGGCATCCACATCCATCGATCATTCCTGCATATTCTATGTCCATTGGACACTAATGTACAGCATGTGAAAAATCGACTCCATCAATCTCTCTCTACCAGTCTACTTTATTACACGTCGAAATAGCAACATGGCATCCACATCCATCCATCATTCCTGCATATTCTATGTCCATTGGACACTAATGTACAAGCATGTGAAAAATCGACTCCATCAATCTTTCTCTACCAGTCTACTTTATTACACGTCGAAATAGCAACATGGCATCCACATCCATCCATCATTCCTGCATATTCTATGTCCATTGGACACTAATGTACAAGCATGTGAAAAATCGACTCCATCAATCTCTCTCTACCAGTCTACTTTATTACACGTCGAAATAGCAACATGGCATCCACATCAATCTATCATTCCTGCATATTCTATGTCCATTGGACACTAATATACAGCATGTGAAAATCGACTCCATCAATCTCTCTCTACCAGTCTACTCTATTACATGTGGAAAATACCAATCTACTGTACTGTATTTTCGACACGTCGTGTAGTTCACTCCTATAATTGATGCTAATATAGTAAAATTGCTTCAAGTCAGGAAGCACCAGTGTAAGAAATGACTAGCATTGGATAATTGACAAGCAATATCGACGCCAAGTAAGCCTTGAAGGGTAAAAGTGTCTGCATCCAGCTGAAAAGAACGACTCCTATCAATACTGTACGTGGATAACCTGGATTCATTTGCATCAAGGCAATCTAGACTACACAAGCATCAAAGCATCACCGACAACAAACTCTGCCATACCTTAATTGTCCATTAGCAATGAAAAAACTGCCAAGAAATGCTTGCTAATGGCGTTAGAATGAATTGAATTCTCGTCGTCTTGGCAAGATGGCCAGCTGCAAATTAGCCAAGATGGCTTTGCTGCTTCTTCCCCCTCCTTTCTATTGGTGTTTCTATGCCCATACAACGACTGTATTAAACACACTATAGTATTTGTCGCAGCTCGTCTTGGCGCCACCTTCCTATTTGAAATTTTGACCCCATCGACCAATAATAAACAATTGCGTATTGCACTCCAGTGCCTGATGCAGTAGTCGCCAGCTATACTGACCCCTACTCCCTTGTCGGCTTGCTTGGCCCACAATTCACCAGTCCTAACTGCGGTCCGTCCTGTGCTGACGGCCACCATCGGGTAGTGTGGCACACTGGTGCAACTGGGATCAAGTCATTTTGACTTGAAGACAGTCACCACACTTTTCTTCCCATTTCTCATACTAAACCTATCAAAATTGGAGCTCACGGGCGGGTGAGTGCGTGGGTCAGATATGTTCCACATAGCTAACAATGGAGAGTTACTATAAGATTGGAGAAATGCGGTATGTATATCAGGATATGTCATATACTATATGAGTGAGTGGGTCTCAATGTTCCACATAGCTAACAATGAAAGTTACTATAAGATTGGAGAAATGCGGTATGTATATCAGGATATGTCATATAAGTGAGTGGGTAAGATTGTTCCACATAGCGAACAATGGAGAGTTACTATAAGATTGGAGAAATGCGGTATGTATATCAGGATATGTCATATAAGTGAGTGGGTAAGATTGTTCCACATAGCTAACAATGGAGAGTTACTATAAGATTGGAGAAATGCGGTATGTATATCAGGATATGTCATATACTATATGAGTGAGTGGGTCTCAATGTTCCACATAGCTAACAATGAAGAGTTACTATAAGATTGGAGAAATGCTGTACTGTATGTATATAGTATTGTCAAACACCACTAGTGACAAAGTAGTCTACACACGCCAATCCTTGCGGAGAACGCCACTTACTAACTTAAAGAGGCGAGATTATCTATATCACCAAATAATTCAGTTCCAACGACCGAATACTGTGGTATAATTATAGCGTCACAGATAGTGTAGACGAGAAAGTCAGAGATTTACTATCATTTAATACTGAAGAAATCTCGGCACCCAAGATTATAGTCTTTACAATTAAATATCAATTGAAAAACTAGTTGACTATCCAACCGACTAACTAACCAACTAAAAAGGAATCTTCAAGTATATATTATATAAGTGAGTGGGTAAGATTGTTCCACATAGCTAAAAATGGAGGGTTACTGTAAGATTGGAGAAATGCTGTATGTACTGTACTGTATAGTAGTATATATTATAATGAGTGAGTGGGTAAGATTGTTCCACATAGCTAAAAATGGAGGGTTACTGTAAGATTAGAGAAATGCGGTATGTACTGTATATATTATATGAGTGAGTGGGTAAGAATGTTCCGCATAGCTAAAAATGGAGAGTTACTGTAAGATTAGAGAAATGCGGTATGTACTGTAATATTGTCATATATATATATATTATATGCATGAGTGTTAAATGAGCACATTATCGTAAACCGTCAGCAAAGCGACGGGAGTTTGCACTAGTATATATTATATGAGTGAGTGGGTAAGAATGTTCCACATAGCTAAAAATGGAGAGTTACTGGTAAGATTGGAGAAATGCGGTATGTACTGTATATATATTTTACACTATCAACTTTCTAGTACAGTAAGCTCCGCGCTTCAAATCAGGCGAGTAAGCTACTTGATCTGTAATTTTCTTTTGAAATAGAAACTTGAAAGCAAACAGATAGCATGGCGCTGGCACGCAGTTAAGAATTGACTTCACTACACAATGCTGTAGAACTGTACAGTGTACAGTAGACCATAGTAGAATAGCAAAAGTTGTTTAAATCATTGCTTACCCTCTCAGTTACGGTTAGGGTTAGAGTGGAGAGGGGTAAGCAATGATTCAAACAACTTTTACTGTTCTCCTATGGTCTACTCTACATTGTACAAGTGTACATGGATTACTAGAAAGGAGACCTGAAACAGGACTCTTCACTCTTGAACGGACAGAACTGTCGCCTTCATTTCGTCAAAATAGTGTTTCAAACACTTGCTTACTGTAGAACATTACTTTAGTCAGCAGACCACCGATTTGAAAGGGACTGATTTTTTCTAAATGAAGTAATATGGCGTTGATTCTTGTTATCCATTTCTAAATTCTGCTTGCAAACAGTACTGTAAGATCGTCGATGTTATTTCAATTAGTAACTAGTGATTTCCAAAATAGACAGGGAAGATCCATACTAAAAATTGGAAGTAGCCATTTTTCCATATTGATGGCCTCATTCGGGAAGAAAAATCCGTCTGTCTGAAGGAGTGGTCAGTCGAGGTCTTTCTAGTTCTCACTGCTGGCGAAGATCGGAATGAAATACACAGTTAGTTTGGACATCTTGCGTCTGCTTTCTCGGCAGTATAGTACTGATTTTAACGCATTTATAGTTAATATGACTTATTTAAGCTATAATTTTATAGATTATAGTCAATTTTAACCCAAGATTGTTTAATAAACAAGAGTAGAGTAGCTTAGTAAATCGTCAAACGACATACCAGAGTAACAACGTCCGCTGATCGCATATCCTTAAATGCTACGGAAAAGGCTACGCATCTTCAATGCATTTGTTGCATAATGAAGATATACAGCCGTTTCAGCGGCATTTTTTGGATATGGCACGGGAAAATGGTTAGGTCTACTGGCTATAGTACGTTCGCTCTACAGTATAGGGTCTACAGACAGCTCGACTTGCAACTCGAAATGTAAATAAGCAACGAGAATATTGCACAGACACTATTCGTAACTTAATTGGATCTTAATTTACGCTAATCGATAAATACTGCCGCTCAGTTAGTCTTGAACTCAAACAGGCAACAGATCGAACTTGCAAGATTGTTTTGCTCTGATCTAGTCGACGTAGAGATACTCAACGAATGGCGTGTCGACTTCATCAATAATACGCGCATACCCGTAGAATGAATTAATTCATTAAACGATATCGGTAGCTTAATTTGCAGACCAGATGAAAGTAAACTTTACTGCAATAATAGTGTTTGAAAGATAAGCCATCATTAAAATTAGAATCAATGCATTAAGCTTACATATATATGAATAAACTGTAATTGATGATACGCATAATCATAGATAATGGCCATATTACTTTTTAGCCATGCCAATAAAACTGAAAAGTTTGATTGGTTAATAGTAACTAATATTTCTTATGGTATCATTTACAATGATACATTACAGCCGGATGAAAAATGGACATTTCGGCCAATAGGGATTTATATCAAGTCAAATAAAATGGATAATTAAATAAAATTTTTGGAAACCAGTCTTATGCACCAAATATAATAGTAAGAAAAAATTTCTGATTTAAAATGTCTACTATCAGACAGTAAATTATGCCATAGTATTAGTGGTGTTGACAAAGAGCATTGATATAAATGCTGGCAATGCTAAATGCCATCATGATGCCCCCCAAAAAAACACAGTAGTCCACAATGTTGTTTATACCGACAAATAAAAGGCAATATAATCAATAATCATAAATAAGAATATTTAACCTTAGCTTTGCAACCGTGTTCAATCAGTAAGATTAATTCAGTTTACTTTTAATACCGTATACATATATATATATAGAGAGAGAGATAGATTTTAAGATATAACAAAGTGATGTGGTTATGACCCAAATTGAGTGAATGATATAACTGAACGCTTAAATTAAATCACAGGATCAAATAAAATAAAATATCATCAAAATATCAACAGCTATAGGCGATGGCCTGTGGAACGACAAACATTTTTATAGAGCTAAACAGATAGTGTGCATAAGTCATATCATTATTCAATAAAATGGAAATGAGATTAATATAATCATCATTTTATATGCATGTATAACAGATATTTTGATATGGATATTTACATGTTTATGTGGATAAATTGATCATAACGAATTTAGATGGAGAGTATCATTTATCAATATTAGCAATAACACATCCACAAATTATCATAGCAGTATGAATTCGGTGTGAAATACTGATCTACTTTTATAATGCTGTATAATAGTATATAGCTACTTGAAAAGCAGAAAGCAACCAAAAATAGTTATAACAGTAAACTCAAAATAGAACAAAGCATGTTGACCATAAGACTGGATAATAAAGGAAATAGGCTTCCACACTGGCAATTTCCTGCCGAAAAATTAAAAGATTAATAATAAGAAATCTATTATTAAACATGGAATTTGTATATGATACAAATCTTTCTCGTACAATCAATTGGACAGTTTATACTCGTAAAAAGGAATAATCAGTCAACAGTATATACCATATCCAATTGATGATAACTATGATTTATGTTAGCAGGTAAGTAATTTGTGTCTGCTATAATCAATATACTGTAATGTAATGGCTAAATAAAATAAGAATTTCAATATTTGCATACTATATAAGTTAAGAATATATTCATGATAGAATAGCAAATCTTCTTTCAGCATAACTAAAAGCTGTGATTGTAGAATATTTGAGGTGATCAAGTTATAATGGCACTCAACTTGCTGAAATTAAGACAAATAATAATACCATTAATGTTGATACAGCTGTAACAAGACACCGCACAACATAAAAACTTTTAAGTCTTCCTTCATAAACAGAATAATTCGTTGCTTCGAGAAGCAAACCCAGGAATAGCATAACTGATTGCCATTATAACTTGTAACATAAATCTGGCTCAATAATTTATATATTAAGTTAAATAGATTGACAAATAAATAGTTAGATACGCAGTTGCATACACAGATGAACAGGTAGCTAAATAGATAGATTGACTGATTGATAGATAGATTGATTGACAGATAGATAGACAAGTAGATAGATAGATAGATAGATAGATAGATAGATAGATAGATATGTAGATAGACAAGTAGATAGGTAGGTAGATGGATAGACAAATCGACGGATAGATAGATTGACAGATAGATAAATTGGGTAAATATTTTTTATGTACACTTATATTTATAGACAGATAGATCCATTGATTTGTTACCATACAGGAATATATATTTTTAATATAACTGTTTCTAAGACTCAAAGCACATGCAATATTTTGCGTGTGTACGCGCATTATTTCATTATGTAAAAGGAAATGAGATAGATTTAAAATTTAGAAGGTTCACTAACAATAAGAAAAAATAGAAAGCCATGTTTACAGGGCATAAAAGAAGAATATCGACAGAAAAATTTAAATAATAGTCTATACAGCTGAAATTATGATCAAGACTTTTGGTAAGACATATAATTGGATACATGCAAGCCTTTCTATATTTCTTGCTAGTATAATACTCAAGAAGAATGATATTATTAGAATAACAAATAAAATATTGATTCTTTCTTTCATTTGTAAGTGCAATAAATCAAGAATAAAGAATGATAGTTTATGAAGATGCAGATGGCAATATTATTTTACTGCCATTAAATGTTAAAATAAAGTTTTATAACGGTTGCAAAGCATCATGTTTAATCACACATCTAATAATATGCCATCAACTTGAGCTTGAATTAATAAACGGAATCATATTGATACAGCAATTAGTAGGATGCAAGTAGGCATTGATAAGTACCATCATTGGATATTTTCACCATTTGGAACGCGATTTATATTCGCTTTAAGCTCACTATTTCTACGTGGCTTTATCTGATGATAGGAAATTCTTGATTTGACTTGGCAATCATTCTTGTTTATAAACACACTTCATCTACCATAATCAAAAGCTGATTTTGGAAATACATTCGCAGAAGGATATAGATATGATAGCAAGTGTAAGAATGTGAGATGTTAAGGGTGCCCTTTGAAAGTAATCGTAACTTCCCATTAATAGTAGTTACCGCCACATGATGCCCAACAAGGCCCAGGTAATCTTGGTAGTGGTGGATAAGCCAAACTTGGTTGTTGCGATATGGTATGGAATCCGTTCAGATATGGATGATATAATGCAGTTGTATTATGCAATGATGGGGGTGGAGCTCGATAAGCAGTCATTGTGGGATAATGATAAACCTCTTTAGCAACGATGTTTGCGTCAAAATTAGGCAATTTAATATTGGTTACACCTTGACTTTGTTGACTAAGTTGTACCAAGCTATTAAAGTCGAATTTGTATGCGTATCGCTTGCCATGGATTTTCGTCATAATATTCTTCTCGTAATAATAACGAAGCGCACGACTTAATTTATCGTAGTTCATGTTGGGCTTGCTTTTACGTTCACCCCAACGTCTTGCTACTTCATCAGGATCACGCAATTGAAATTCACCATTGGTTCCTTCCCAACTAATGCAAGAACTGTTCTGATTGTCATTCAGTAACTCCAACAGGAACTGCCACAATTGGATTTGACCACCTAATGATGAGAACGTAACAATTATATTAATATATACAGTAGTTAAAATTGCTTATTTAGTATGCTATATGCAATAACCATAAATGAATTTTTAGCTACTTATTTCATATACATAGTTTCATATACACAGTTTCATCAACCAAAGCAGCAAACTATTTAACAACGTATACTTGATCTATTGTCCACTACTACATTTGTAATTGGATTTTTGGGATATTGATATAGTATATTTAAAAAATGCTTAGATATATTGCATATAAGTTCATATTGACCTTCTATTTAATGAAACAAATTTGACTATAGCTCCATTTTTATCTTTATTATATTATACATTAAAATTCGTAAATAGGTTTCTTGATTTTAGTAGAAATAAATCCGGTAACCGTGGAACTTTATCATTTGCCAAATATACTATAATCAGTTGGCGAAAATTAATATGAGATTTGAAATGAAATAAATCGGTAGTATCAAAGGAATTAAAATTCGATGAAGTTCTTGGATAACAAAATTCGTCATATTTATTAATAGCTCAATTGTGATATTGACTTAATAAAATTAATTAAGATCATAACTGGCTAAAAAATTATCAAATAATGTAAAGACGTATTTGCTTAGATGTCAATTTGCTCTTATTAAGTTAACTTTGAATAAGCCTTTACATTCAAAACTCATGTTGATAGCCTCAAATAGAGGCTCAAATGTATTTATGAACTATTTTATCATGCTTTACCAATATGTAAAAGTAGTTGTGAATTTAAATTAATTTACAATCACAATTGAGAGATGTATTGATCTCAGGTAATTATAGTAGTAGTAATAGCAGGAGACTATTACTTGGTTATTACAATTTAGGTTTAAGATAACTGAATTGGACACAAATTTTTGAAATATCCAGTATTCGAGGCTAGCAACTATAGTGCATAAAATTTCATTGTTACATTACTATGCATATATGATATACTCAGTGATTCATGTCATAAACTTATCAGTTTTTTAGCTTAACAATCTGACAGAAATAAATTAAATTATGAAAATGTTACTATGGAAGCAATGACGTTGATTATCGTATGATTTTTAATTAGAGATTGGAAAAGAATCGTAGAAAAAAAAGACAATCGTCAGAAAATTTACGAGATTTAGCAACTTTACTATTCCATATTCTGTAGTTCGCTCAATAGACAATTAGTTAAAGTTTATACTTTGGGTAGTTGTCTATCTTTTTTACTAAAATTTTATAAATCCGGACTGAAGCAAATTGATATTGAATCTATTTTTAAAGCGATGACGTTACTACGGATTTAAATAACTCAGAATATAGAACATTAGGTAATTTTTTTATAGATCAGTAATTTGTAAGTACCCATTTGTTAGTAAGGCCAGACTTAAAGAATGAATATTGAATATATATTTGAATAGTGCAATAATAATTTGCTTGGCATTGGCAATGCAATAAACACACAAATCTATGAACGCGTGTAATAATTAAAGGCTTTCAATACACGATTCCTATTATGTAAAGATGCCACAAATATTTTTCATCATTTCGTCTGCAATTAAGTTAGCAATTTTTTAAAAAATACTTTCATATTCGATAATAAATTATGTGATTATTTTACGCCGGATATAAAAACTGTATACTCAGCAATCTATTGAGTAAGAGCAACTATGGCGAAACAGATCATACAATTGTACTTTACATCTAAATATAATTCTCATCCAACTAATACAATTTTGTGATCTTTAACTGTGATCATCATTTACTCGATTTTAACATGTGGATAAATGAGTATTAGTAGATCACAACAAATTATTAACTTCTTTAGTGAGGTAGTTACACTTTTTTCTTTGCTTACTGCCTAGATCCACCTTTTTAATTAATTAACTGGTTTATGTCAACGGATAAAATGTAATTGTCAATTAATTATTAATATAATTAATTAATAAGTAGTGTATTGCCGAAACAAGGCATATATTATGTATAATTTTCTCTGTTAATTAAGAACGTAATCGTTCGACTGAAGCAATAATTGGCATATAAGAGAGTACGTAGAGTATCGCTTACACTATTAAATTATGCATACAGATGTATTAATTAATTACGATCCTTGCTATCATAATAAATTCAGTAGATAAGAATTCACATTGAGTTTTCGTTAATGAAAATTACTAAATATCGGCGTAAAAGATAGCATACCGTATATAAAGTAGATCTACTCTAATAGTTGAATCCAGTACCGCTACTATTAAATTGAATTTTCTTAAATACTGCTAAATATATAAGGTAGTCATTATATCACAAAAATTTTAAAGTTTTACTATTGGGATAGTATGAGAAGATAAATTTTTCGATTGTAACATACAAGCGATTTGAATATACTTCGTACAGAATAAAGTTAGTACGACGTTGAGAAATTCAATATTGCGCTGAAAAAGGCGCATATATGCAGCATTAGCAAATTGAATATGAATTGGTTATCAGAACTTAAAGAGGATTATGCAAATCCGATGAAACGGTTATCCTACTAACTCCTTGCTTTTATGTCTTTGATTTCCAATAGAAAGTACAGTTTTAAATAAGGTTTCTAAATTAAATGGCTTGGGTCAACAAGCGGAAGAAGAAAGCGAATGGCTTTTAATATTATGGCCAAGTAGAAATGTCACCGATATCACACACAATATTAATCGTTTATAACTGATAGTCCTTTGACTTGAAAGCTAAGCGTCATTTGATATGCAAACAAAAGTATTTAATGGAGTAACTTTCATATTATCGGTTACTACTGTTATCATGATATGAAGACGAGGCTAAGATTAACGTTCAATACTAGGAATCAGTAGTATTTTCACCATAAGTATTGTTGTTTGTAAAATTTTGTAGTGATAGCGTGGTTAACTGAAGTTGTTTATCTTCCATTTTCAATGTCAATCATGCCATAATTGTCAATAGCCAGTATATTAAAAAATAAATGACATGCATATAAACATGCATTTATATTATTAATAAAATGTAGATTTTAAATAAAAAAAAAGATGGCAATACATTTTATGATTAATTAATTTCATGCCTCTGATGAGTTAATACAGCAGATGATCAGTCAAATTATTAACGCTATATTATTCACTTATTTCTTACATTGACGTATAGGCATATGTATACGTATATATGCGTATTATATATAAATTATCGATGATCATAATGCATTATAAAGGCGAGTCAAAGAATGTGGAAGACTGACGGAATAGATATACTCTGACAATAAAGGTAAATCTATAGTTAATCATACAGGAGAAATTGAAATGAATAGCGGCCATAAAATGAGAAAAGGCACCTGCATTAGATTTAATTTTTGGATATAAATAGTAACATTAAATTACTCTTGGGATAATATTCATTAAAAAATATTAAAGGTATTGATATTAACTATGAGAATCAAGTTTGGTTAAATATACCTTTATAATGATCTACTCTATTATAATTCTAAATTTCCTGACACAGTTTAATTTAATTTAGACTCGCTTCCTTCCTATATAGCAATACAGCATTCAATCAATTGGTCCTTTTAAAGTATCAACAAATACTGAGAACAATATGAGCATGATACTGTATCGTAAATGTTGTAACAATCGCAGGTAAAGAATAGAAATCTGCCAGCTCAACTCCCACACTCTCCCTATCCTTTCCTTTGAACATTTTTCTGGCATTTTTAATCTGCTGCATTTTTGGGGAAGAGAGGGAGTAATCTATGATAACTGATCTTATGTATGGCTAAAAGTAAGGCAAACTATTGACTAAATTTTCCTTTTTTCTATAGCTAAATCAGACTAGAAAATTATCACTTGCCGGTTATAATTAAAATTTAAAAGAGTAAAAATATATCATTAAGAACATGTTGAAAAAAGAATGTGATTGAACGCCATTTTTTTCGCTTAGTTGGGTACTATTAATAATATCGGTACTCTACCAGATGTTGTTTTTTTAAACAGTTATAAATCTAAGTATTTTTGCTTTAATCTGATACCACTCAATCTAAATAAGTACTTTTCAACAAAATTGCTATTTACCCATAGTATCTAAAAAGTTGCGCTTCTAGATATTTTCGTAATATAGAAATAGTGAATAGAAAACTAGTATTATCAATTTAAATAATTTTTTTGACATTAATTTGAGATTATTAAAGCTAAGCTATCAATTCTATATTGAAATATCCAAACTTATGGAAGGGATAATAAAATAGAAGAGATGACAATAAAAATACGGATGATAGTTGATAACACTAGAGTTTAATTTCATCGCTGTTACATTAACACGTTAAAAGACTTTTTTTACGCTAATTCCGATAATTTACTTATTGAAATAGGGCAAGAAGAGATTTAGATTAGGAAATCAAGGCGCAATAAATAAAAAAATTTCCTCGTAATATCGGTTGTATTGCTGGAGAAATAAAAAATCCTTTACAAACCGTTATTATTGGAACGATTGCCACTGCCATTTGGATTAGAGCCACCGCCGGTACTGGAAGGTGATTCAGCAGGACTAGCTGGTTTTGACGATGGTGATGAGCTGACTTCTGGATTGGAAAACATAACGTCGAGAATGGTCATGAAAAATAAGTTTGAGGAGAAAAATTGAATTTTAAAAGAGAAATACAAGTGTATTTAATAGTAACAAGTATAGAAGAAAGATTTTACTGTTACAAAAAAAGTGATAAAATGATATTAAGGGATAGGTTCAGTACTACTTATAACATGAAAATAACAACAACAATAATAACGCCAACGTATATGATATACGTCGGATCTAATGAATAAGGAAGCAATCGATCAGGTGAAGATCCATAGGATTGTAGATCATTTTCTTTTGTGGTTGTATTGTATTCAATACGAATTAAAATTGAATGAAATCCATCTATCAACTCTGGTAATAAGTAGAGTTATGGAATAATTTTCCAATCTTCTGATTGGACTAATATTATTGTCGTCATTGGATGGCTGGCAAAA